TCCTGTCTTGGGGAACACCTGCCGGCACATGGGGTTCAGCTGTCCCCGATGTCTGAGGCCAACGCAATGAACTCCAATGGCACAAATCCCAAACCATCTCAGTTCCAACTTGAAAATCTCCATAAAGAACTTTTTGAAACAGTGTTCCCCCTTCAGAAAGTCCATACCCAGGACCCAGGCTTTAATATTCTCTTTTATCACCCGGCAGTGATTCACCTGGCTGAATCACAGAAGGGCCGTTAGAGCACCTGGGCTTACACCCTGGCTCAGTGCCTCCCTACTCGGGGCAAGTACTTGACCTCAAAGCATCCATGCATTCATGTGTCAGGCAGGATCAGTAACACAGGCGCTCATGAGAATTAAGCGCAAGGTGCTCACCGCCAGGCAGTGAAAGTCAGCATTAGCGTTATTATAAAATTCTTCTTGTCAACTATCCCCAGTCCTGGGCATCTCAGCAGGAGGATGCCCAGGGAAGGGGCTGCCTCTTCCTCTCCAGAGAGAGATGCCAGAGAAACTTGGGAGAGGTCATCCTGGGAGACAGAAGCCATGTAGCTTGCTGGCAGGCACAGATCAAGGTTGCAAGTCACATACATGTCAACACGCTCCCCCAGCCTCACGCATCCTCCTCCACACCAGCCCCCTTGCATCTTCATCTGCACTGAGAGAACACATGTGTGCACTTGTTCATGCACACACGAGCCTTCTACCTCAGTCCACATGCACCCCAGGAATGTGAACCTCTCGGGGGGCCCAGCAGTGCTCGGCCAACCACAACTGCCGGAAACCCAGGGCAGCGGAAGGACTGTGCTCATAGGTCTGGCATCCAGGTAGGTGAGCCTACGAGGCAGGCCAAGTGAATTTGCATATAATTTGCATGTGTTGACACAGCGCTCCCATCTCTGCACAGAGCACCTCCAAGCTAACCTGTTATTACGGCTCCCCTAAAGCCTGGTTTTCCTCAGCCCTCTCGCAGCTTCCCACCCACAGCCAGGAAGTACCGGAGCTGCCTCTGAGCACCCGACAAGCCCCACCCACCCCCTTGGGTCACAGTTTCTTCCCTGGACAACAAATAACAGCATGCCTCCACTGGGCAGACGGAGGGGGCCTCCCTGCACCTACTGTGGGAGCACGTGCTGGGAGCTGGGCCCCCCTGCTGGGGCACCGTAGGCTGCTCGTTATTACCAGCCGGCCTGGGACACGCGAGGATGGGGCAGTGTCCCCTTGAAGTGTCTCAGTCTCCCCTGTGCTCCGGTTACTTGTTGTGGCAGATATAAACAGGATGCCTAGTTAAACTTGAATTTCTAAGAACAATGAGACTTAACGGGAGTATAACATGTCTACAATATTTGGCATATGCTTATACTAAAAACTGCCTGTTGCATAACTGGAATTCAGATTTTAACTGGGAGTCCTGTATTTGATCTGAGCACCCTACCTGGGACCCAAGGTCCATTGACCTCTACTATTACTAATATCCTGTTTTCTCACCACTTTTACCTAAGCCCAGAGAAAGCAGAATTTACTTCCTCAAAGTCCAGCTTCCTGATGTAGGTTAGGAAGAGAGGGCGGAGGTCACATGTGAGGTGAACTAAGAATTGCTTGCTTGGTGTGGGGGGATGGACATGTGTTTACAAATTTATTTAAAAATCTAAAATCTGTTCCTCTTTGGTTTCTGTGAGGAACCAACCGGTTATCACTGAGAACGTGGGGCCACATTTCCTGTGGTGAAGGGAACGAGTGTTTGCATCAACAGGTCTGTTTCTAGGGCTTGTCTCAGGATGTGAGGCCCTCAGCGGGTCACAGAGGGAGAGGAGAGGAGAGGCAGGCAGAGAGGGCTGTGGCCAGGGACTGCTTGGGTGGGAGGCGCTAGCTCTGGAGGGTCTTGGAGGACCCCCGTGTGGATATGAGCCCCACTCCAGCCCTTCGTCCAGCTTCTCCATCATGCATTAGTCAATGGCCCTCTGCAGAGGGTGGAGGTGGTGATGAGCCCCATTCTTCACTTTGCTGGTGGGCCTAGCGTGCTGAGCTCAGGGGCCTGCCCTTCACCTGGAGCCACCATCAAGGCGGGAGGTTCAGACATGAAACGTGTTGTGGGCTGTCTGTCAGGCTGTGCAGTCCATCCCCCCGCCACTACACTAGGCCTTTACCAGCTGAGGTGCCCCAGGAATACTACCCAGTGACTCTACAGATAAACATGTGCACCACCCAAGAGTGACAATTTCCCCTCAAGATTTTTTTTAGAGGAAGTGTTTTATAGTAAGGTTAGTGGATATGCTAGAAGTGCAATGCAAAATTTTCATCTTTTTAAGATCAACACAAAATGAGATGTAAAGGTTTTCATTTCCTTTTCCAAAAAGTGGTGATGGGGACACCACCAGCCTCATGGGGACATTGCAAGGACCAAATAAAATCAATGCAGGTGGAGCCCTTCCCCAGCACAGAACCAGGCAAGAAGGACCTCTCTACGTGGAACTTTCCTCACCTCCGAGCCAGGCTCAGTGACAAGACCCTTCGTCTGGTCTTGCATATCAGACCTCCCCATGCACAGAGAAATCACTACGCAGCCAAAGGACTCTATAGGTCCTTTAGGAAGATTTCCCTTGACTTTCTAATGCCATCCTCCAGAAAGGTATTAAACACAGGACAAGAACCTAAAAGCCCCCTGCTTTTGGCATGCCGAGATGGCCAGAAATTCTTACCACCAATGGAGAGACCATCCATGGCCACCCCTATGGCCTCTTGCCAAGGTGAAAGCCAGCATTCTCAGCCCAAAATAATCCAACTGTGCCTGGCTGCAGATGCCCTGGTGAAGAACATGATCAGCAGAGTTCAAGGAGCATCGTGTGGTCAGGAGGGCAGACACACAGCACAGAGACCCACAGATCTCGGCATCCCTGAGTCAGCTGTCCGGGTAGAAGGATGGAATGGAGCATTATGGCGTGACACCCAAGGTCAGTGCCTCGCTTGCTCACACCCTCGGATCCTTCTTCTTAAGAACTTCAAAAATCCAGTGATGGTAATGCTTCTTTGGGGCCTAAAATTGGCCAGTGGTCATCAATGACCATCTACATTCTTTGTATTTCTCCCCTCAACAGCGAGGCCAGCCATGTGCCACGGGAGCCCTCCCGGCCTACTCTAAGAGATGGTCCGTGTCCCCCCCACCCCGTCCTGGCTGGTCCAACCATAAATGACTCATGAACTGCATGAAGACTACATGTGGCCTTGACAATGGTGCTGAACAGTTGGTAGGCAATGACTTGGTCTGACTCTAGGATAGTTGGGGAATATTCTGAATAATTTAAGAGAGTATAAGGGTGTCTCTTCTAATTAGGGGCCATGATGTTTTCACACGCTCTTATTGAGCAAATAATTGTTGCAAATGTACCAAAACCATTGTCCCAACAGTTGAAGACCACTTGGCCTTCGGTTTGTCATTCTTGTCTCTTGCTCAAGCCGGCTGTTATCCTGTTATCACCTTAGAAAACAAGGCACCGTGCTCATGATAACTCCTGCATTTAAACTGCTCTTCAAAGTTCAACCTTGGCTCTGGAGTATGAACAGGCTTTGGGGGCTAATTAACCTCACACACAATCTCAGCCAACATCCCACATCCCATCAACCCCAGCCCCATAATTAGTTCCTGCTAAAATATTATACTTCATGGGAAGTATACATGGGAAGGTGTTCTGGGTGTCGGAGCTACTTGGTCAAAATCAGCCTTGTTTGGAGGCTGGGGGCCTTGTCCTTTGCGGTGGTAGAGTTGGCCCCAAGGCCATTTTTTAAAATTGCGAGCCGTGATCCAAAATCTCCCCCCGCCCCTCCCCCCGCATTTGAGCTTGTATGGCCTTTCCTTTTTGAAAAACAAAGTATGATAATCACAGTTCTCCTTGGCCAGTGGCCAGACATCCAAAAGCTGCAGCCAGGAGATCAACGGATACACCCGGAGAGGGCAGGGTCAGAGGGCAGAATATTCTGGAGACACGTGTGTGCCGGAGACCAGACCTGAAGGACTGGAGGGTGTGCGTGCATGAGGGCCGGCACCCCCTAGTTTGAATGACATGCTAAGGCCCTTCCAAACCTGTGGATGAAACATGCCTGTGACATTAATTAATGCCAGGCAAATGTAACAGCAGATCCTGGAATCTAAAAATAGACCTATGCCTACTGATTCATCCCCTGACTGCACAGAATCTGGAGCTTTTTAATCTACTTCTTGTCTGCATGTACATTACATTATGGCCTTTTTTCTTTCCCTCCATGTTTGTTGTTGTTCTTTTATTTCTCTCCTTCTTGTGGAAAGGTTTAAACCTTCGAGAAGAGATGTCCCCACCTGGCTACCCTCTGACCCAGAAACATGCTTAATAAGCAAGGAAATCATTTCTTTTCCTGGCTCACATGGTTGTGAGCTATGCAATTTGTACTTAATATTTTCCATGCGGATGTTTCTGCCTGTTGCATCACACACACAACTCTATGGCTTCGTTTCCGATTACAGTCCCTTCTATTTTAAACTTTGTTGATTTCGACTGGGAAGGAAGCCTATTTCATACAGATTAGCTGGACAGCTGGGTTTGATTGCTTCTGATTACTGGGCTTCAGGCCACTGGGGAAATAGGTTTCCCAAAGCCCCTGGATGGAGAACCATTGCATGTGGCCCCAAAGAGTGGGCCGGTGCTTACTCCAGGGGGGAGGGGCAGCAGCCTCGGCTGGAAATCAACAGGTCAAGCCCAAGGCAGGATCTGAGCGTCATCCACCTCTCAGGCTTAGGAGGCTGTGCTGAGAGGTGGAGGAGGGGGGATTAGAAGCCCACTGGTTCAAAAGCGCTCACGGGGACCTGAGTGGGGGCTTGTGTCGGAGATTTAACTGCTTGTGCTTGGAAGGAAGCATCCATCATGCTTGCCTGATAGAATCACTGGGGAGGCTCAACGACAGGGTCCCTTCATCTGGCCTTGCCTCCCAGACCTCCAGGTGCACAAAGAAATCACAAAGACCTCTCTCACCTTTCAGTGGCCAGTCCACAGGCAGGTGGGGCTGCCGCGCTCTCCCGACAACCGGTGGCTCCGATGAGGCAGGAGCTTTCTCCCTGCTCGTCCCATCTCTGCCTTTGCTTCTTTTTATGCCTTCTCTAGAGAAAACCGAGTGCTGGAAATTTTTTTTTAAATTGTGTGTGTGGAGGGTGGTGGGTGTTGGGGGTGGCAGAGGGGCCCCGGGGGGTAGGGGTGCTGCCCGCCCCGGTGCGGGCTCGGGTTTAGTGGCCGGCGCCGGGGCTCTGGTGCGCCGGCAGAAGCTCGGTGCCACGGCAGCTCTGTGTGTGGGCGGCGGCAGCTCCACGGCTGGGTTTCAAACCATTACACTGAACATTTGCAAACAGATAAAAAAACAAAACCATCCGGCACAAATGGAAACTTCTGCTTTCCTTTCTCTTCTGGCACTCTGTCCCCTTCACCTCTCCTCTCGGGTTTTGGAGGAGGCAGGTGAGGGTGGGCTGCAGGCCCCACCTCTGCCACCCGCCACCCATTCCCATGGCCACTGACATGGACAGGCAGGTCGGAGCATCAAGACTTTCCCCACAGCTTTGGGAATGGCCTGATACTTGCAGATGAAAAGATTTCTCCTTTCCGGGGTCTTGCTCAGAATCCGGCCACGGGGAGCCACCAGACCCAAGGAGAGCTCAGGCTCCGTGTCAGGCCACGTCCGATCCTGCCAGTTTCAAAGGTACCTTAGAACTGACCGACAAGGGGAGTGAGGGACACCCTCATAGCTGGGTGATGCTTTTCCCACTTCATACTCTGTGAACAGTGGCACAAAGTACTCCACTGAAAAGAAAATGGGTCCTACAGTCAAATTATTTTGGGAAATGTCGCATGCAAAACTGCTGTGGGGTGGTCACAGAGCGCACCAGCAGGGAAGGTCCTGAGAAGTCCTGCAATTAAGAATCCTGTGTGGCCTTGTGCCACCCAGCATGTCCAAAATGTGTAAGACCTGAGACCAAAGAAGCCCCTCTCCATGAACAACACTACCCCAATGGCAGCACACACACTCACATCCACGCATTCATACCTGCCCCCAACCAAGGTAGCCGGACCCAGATCCATTCTTCCAGCCAGAGAGAAAAGAAGGCACGCAAAGCAGATACTGGGGACCAAGCAGGTCAGAGTTCCCCATCTCAAGACACTCTCCGCTTGGCACACAGGTGCCCCACACGGTCACTAAGAAGCTGAGACTGTGGTCCTGGCTGGACAGGCCCATGAGGGATGTGAACAATTCCTCGGGGCCACAGGGGCTCTCAGGGTGTCTTCTCGCCCACTCCATTAGTCCCCTCCTCACGTCCCAGCCCAGGGAGGGGCTGCCTTCGGCTGGGAGTTGACCCAAGCTTACAGGGCCACCGTGGGGCAGAGTCACTGGAGGAATGTGTCACAGAGCCCTGCCCGCAAACCTCTGCTGGACAGAAGAAGGGGATGAAGTGTCACGTGATACTAGGAGGCTGAAGAACAGAAGCGTGAAACAGCTAAAGTCTGAGAGATAAATCTGCCGGCTAGAAGGTGTTCATGTTGGAAAGGATTGCAGCAGGAGGGGGAGCAGAGGAGAGCGCAGGAAGAGCTGCTGCACGCTGTGGGACGCGGGGGCTCCTGGTGGCCATCGGGGCCATCAGACGCCAGCCTCTGAGCCACAGCCTCCTCTGTGAAAACCATTTCTAGCTCACAGTGACTTTGCCCCCCAGGGAACACTTGGCAACATCTGGGGACATTTTGGGTTGTCACTATTAAGGGGCTGTGTTATTGCAAAGAGCGGTTGGAGTCCACGGGTGCTAAGCGCCCTGTGAAGCAGCAGAGCACCCCCACCCAAACATCAGCATGTTGCAGAAGTCTGGAACCCTGTCCAGGTGGACCCCCCAGGCCCCCGGGGGCGCTCCAATGACACAATGCATGTGAGGATTCTGAGTAAACTGGAAGGTGATTATGTTATGTTTTTGGTAAGACAGAGGCTTCCATGTCATCTGGATGGCATTTAATTTCCTGTTGGATGACAAGATGGAAACAGATGGAAGCAGAGTAAAAGCTCTGTGCTGCACACCAAGACAGAAAGCCCCCCTGCCTTATGAACACTCCAAATTACATGATTTTAAAAAAAAAAACAAGCAAAGGAAAGAAAAGAAATGCCTCCTCTTGGGTAAGTGCATCATAGAACTTGAACTCTGTATGAACAAAGTAAAATGGGTGCATAAAAGCTTTAAAAAGCTTACAAGCACTTGGACAGATAATCATTGGTAATTAGAGCATTTTATAGAATCCATTAAAGTTTTTAAACAAAGCTGAAGTTATTTATTGACCTTTCCTCTGAAGGAGGGGGAACAGTCGTGCTGACAGCATTAATGCTTCCGGCCTGGGTGGGGGGTTTTCTTTAAAAGAAATCTTCAGCCCGGCTGGCAATACGGTCCGCAGCACACAGCACATTATTAGAAGCCGACACAGAGAGAAAGTGAAACTAAACTTCAGACTCATGTTCCAGCTGACTGCCAGCCTCAGAGAAGAAATTTGGCCATGTCTCGCCCTGCACCTCCATTCCCCTAGGACCCCAAGGGCAGGACTAAGGGTCCAGAGCCCGGGAACGGTTTTCCCCTGGTGGTGGAGAGGTCGCAAGTGGGGTGGCCAGGTTGGGAGAGGAGGGCGTGGCCAGGTCTGCACTGACCCCCAGAAGGGAAGGAAGGGCGCCGGCAGGGCGGGCCGAGGGCATGGGCAGACGGACGCTCTGGCAGAGGCTTTCTAGGAAGGGATGCCAAGCTGCCAGGGTTCTGATGTGGACACAGAGTTGTCCTAGTGTAACCCACACTAGCCAGTTACATCAGCTTCCTCCAGGCGCCCCGACAGAACACGGCCAGCCTGTTAGTCTTGACCTCCCTGTGGCTTCATCATCCACGCTTCCACCCATCAACCGGGACAAGCACCCGAGAGCTTCCTACGCCAGCACTTTGCTTGGCCCCAGGAACCAAGTGCTGATGGAAAGGCAACACCAGCGGCTGCCTCCACAGGGTTCATAGTCAGTTGGAGTGAAAAGACAGAAATCAAAGAATAATGAAAAAAACCCACATCCAATTCATTCAATCATTCACTGGCTGAGAATTTGAACTTCTATTTTATACTAGGCACTATTCGTGGAGAAAAAAATTGTGTTAGCAAATTACTATCAAAACAGAACAATGTTATGAAACTCTAGCTGGACAATATATCGCATCGAAAGCTGTAAAGTTGAGGCCCCCGCTCTTTGTTAGAAGGGGCTAAGAGGGGCCCCATGTGAAGGACCTGCTGATCCAGGCACAGGTGGTGGGAAAGGGAGTAGATTCCCATTTGGCCTCATTTTTCACCCCCAAGTTCTGAGCCACCTAAGGCTGTCTTGTGCTCCACAATCGCTGCGAACCCCAAGCTGTGGAAACATCACCCAACACACGGAGGAGCTGTCTGAGAAGAGGACCCCAACCATCCCAGATGCCGGCTTGAGGTCTCACAGAGGGAAGGCTGTTCAGAACCTAGGACAGCTCCCGAGTGCCTCCTGTCTAGATCCCCACCCTCCTGGGGCACTGCCAGGGCAGAGAGACGTGCAGATGCTTCCCGCAGAGGGGACTCAGTCACTCTCCACGTTGGTGTCTGCTGCCTTCTGCAGGCCTCGCTCATGTCTCTGCTTCTCCAGGACTTCCAGCCTGTTCCCACTGCCACTCCTGACTCTTGCTGACACTCAAAAGTGCCAAAGGAGGAACTCATTGGTTCGCTTAGTGCATATAGGGCCTCGCAGCTGGTCAGAGCTTGCCCTCTGGGTCAAGCCATCCTACATCCTATCGATGACTGCCATGGAGTCAGCCAGCCCTAGACGAGGGACAGAGCCATATAAGTTTCCCCAAAGGGCACAGCCAGCATTCCAACGGGAGCTTGGGGATGACGCATCTGCGCCGCTCTGGGGGTTCATGAGATCATTTCACATGCTTAGTAAATGAATTTTTTTAATTGTAGTAGTTATATTTTTATTTTAATGTGAATGAATACAGTTCTAACTAAAAGACAAAAGTCATGTGCTTCCCTTTTAAATAGATTTTAGTCAATTTAAAAATACTAATTTTGTTCAAAGACTTATGTGGAAATCTAAATTAACTAGTATAGCTAAAATGATTTTTAAGAAAAAGAATAAAGTTGAAGGAATCACACTATCTCATTTTAAGACTTACTATACAGCTACCACTCTCAAGACAGGATGATATTGATGGATAAACCGTAGATCAATAGAACACAATAAAGAACCCAGAAGTAACGCACACAAATAGGCTTCACTGATTTTTGATAACAGCGTAAAAGCAGTTTAATGGAGGAGGGTTAATCTTTTCAACAAATGGTGCTGGAGCAATTTGACATCCTGGGCAAAAAAGAGGAGAAAAACCTAAGCTAAACCTCATACCTTATATGAAAAGTAACTCACAAGGTGTTCTAAATTTAAATGTAAAACCAAAAAAGTTTTTGAAGAAAACATAGGAAAAAACTTTGAGACCTACAGTTAAGGCAGAGAGTATTAGACATGACACCAAAATTATAATCCATAAGAGAAAAACAAATCAATAGATTAGACTTCATTAAAATTAAATCTTTTGTTCCTCAAAAGACCTTGTTAAGAGGATAAAAAAAAGCTTTATTGAACAACTGGTGTTGGAACAACTGGACATTCATATGCAAAAAAAAACAATCTAAAGACAAACCTTACACTCTTCACAAAAATTAACTCAACATGGATCATAGCTCTAGATGCAACATACAAAATCATAAGAACTAGAAGATAGCATAGATGACCTCAGGTATGGAGATGACTTTTTAAATATGATACCAAAGGCACAATCCATGAAAGAAATGTCCACTAAGGCAGATTTTGTTACAATGAAAAACTTCCACTCTTCAATAAACAATGCCAAGAAAATAAGAAGAAACGCTACAGAATGGGAGGAAATATTTGCAAAGGACACATCCGATCAAGGAGTGTTACCCAAAACACAAAAAGAATTTTTAGAACTCAACAAGAAGAAAACAACCAACCTGGCTGAAAAAATGAGCCACAGACCTTCACACACACCTCACCAGAGAAGACACATAGACGGTAAGTAGGCATGTGACAAGGTGCTCCACGTCATAGGGCACCAGATAATCGTGAATTGAAACAACAAGGAGACACTACTGCACACCTGTTAGAATGGCAAAACGTGGAACCCTGACAGCACCAACTGCTGGTGAGGATGTGGAGCTCCCACTCTTTGCTGGTGGGAATGCAAAGTGGCCCAGCCACTGTGGAAGACAATTTCTTGTGAAATTAAACACTCTCTTACCATGTGATCTAGCAACCATGATCCTTGGTATTTACCCAGAGGAGTTGAAAACAGAAGCCCACAAGAAAACCTTCACAAAAAAACATGGATGTTTATATAGCAGCTTTATTCATCATTGCTAAAACTTGGAAGCAGCCAAAGATGTCCTTCACTAAGTGAACGAATAAATAACCTGTGGTACATCCAGACAACAGAATATTATTCAGTGCTACCAAGAAATAAGCTACCACTCCATGAAAAGACACAGAGGAACCTTAAATGCGTATTACCAAGTGAAAGAAGCCCATCTGGAAAGGCTACAACCTGTATGCCTCTGTGAAAACATCAGTGGTTGCCAGAAATTAGGGGGAAGGAGAGATAATAGCTGGAGAACAGGGGGTTGTTAGGGTAGTGAAAACAGTCTGTATATTACAATGACAGACACGTGTCATTATACTCTTGTCCAAACCCACAGAATGCACAACACCCAGAGTGACCGTGATGGACGCTGCGGACTTGGAGTAATAACGATGTATCAGTGTGAGCTCATCGGCTGCAACAAAGGCACAGCTCTCAGGGATACTGACCGTGGGGGAGGCTGTACTGACACAGGGGCTGGTTCATGGGAGCTCTGAACTTCCCTCTCGATTTTGACGTGAACCCTAACTGCTCTAAAAAATACGTGGTTTGAAAAAAGATTTACAAACCACATATCTGATAAAAGACTGGCATCCAAAACAAATAAAGAACTCTCAAAACTAAGCAGAAAAAAAAAATACTATTTGAAAATGGGCAACAGTCATGAGCAGACACCCCACCAAGAGGACAAATAGGTGGCCAGGAAGCACAGGAGAAGATGCCCAATGTCACCAGCCATCTGAGAATGCAGACTACAACCATGAGGAGTCATTCCTGCACACCTACCAGAACGGCTACAATAAAAAATACTAGCAATGTCAAATATTGGCAAAGATGTGGATAAACTGGTCACCCACAGTTGGCTGCTGTGAACAAGAAACAGGACAGTCAGTCTGCAAAACATTTTGGCAGTTTCTTATGAAATTATACATGCACTAATTGGGCACAATTCAACAACTGCACTTTGGGGCGTTTCTCCCAGAGAAATGAAAATTGGTTTTCACATACAGACCTGTGTATGCATGTTTCTAGGTACTTAATTTGCAATAACCAGTAACTAGAAACAACCAAATGTCCTTCAACAGGTTAAGTGACTTAAAAAAGTGTGGTGCATCTATACCTTGGAACAACTATTAAGCAATTAAAAATAAGCTCTTGACACATTCAACAACTTGGATGAATCTCAAGGGCATTATGCTGAGTGAAAAAGAAACAGTTATACTGTGTGATTCAATTTATATAAAACTGTCAAAATGGCAAAATGATGGAGATGGAGAACAGATGGTTGTTTGTGCCAGGGTGTTGAGGGCAGAGAGTGGGGGTTGGGGACATGAAGGGGCAGCACTTTGATAGTGTCCACACATGATAAAACTGCACAGACCTACCCCCCCACACACACACACACATGAATGAGTGTGTGCAAAAACTGCTGAGATCTGAATAAGGTCTGCAGAATACCTAGTTGTACCAATGTTGATTTCCCACTTTAGAAGTCCTATTATGTCATCATTAAGATCTTACCACAAAACTGATTGAAGGACCAGCAGCACTTCAGTCTGAGCTGTTTCTGAGTCTATAAGTATTGAAAAAATTAAAGTTTCCAAAAGAGAAAAATATGAATTGAATAAGAGTACAGGTCATACATGCATTCAGCAGAAAAATTGTGATGCTGTCACAAGACATGCCTGAGCTCTGGGCATGAATGTTCCTCTGGTGCTGAGGGGCCTTGACCCACCTGGGGGTGGCACCTGTGAGCACCTGAGCCTCAGACACCCAATGGGTGTGATAAGCAAGACTCTGGCTCTTTGCCAGCTCAGTGCTGGTGAAATTTTAAATCACAGTGGCTAGCGAGACCAAATGGGCCAACTTTTCTAAATGGCCAGAGGCCTTGTTTAAACTCACTGAAACTGAACAGGCACAGCAGATGTCTTTGTGGTAAGGGCAGCCCCTTAAGTGATGAAACACCACATTTCATCGACTCTAAGCACACAATTGCAAGAAGCGCCATTATTTTTGTTTCATTATGAAAGTAAAATACGCTGCCAATTAAACCATGACACAATGCTTTATTATTGCTTAGTGTTTTTTAATTTTACTTATTGAAAGAGTTCTTTAAGACTTAGACATATTTTTATCACATTGTGCATACATAAAATTATTACTATTGTGCATACATAAAAATGAAAATACAAATGAAATAAATTGGTTGTTATCCCTCAAACTTCTTTCTACTGAGTTCAACTCTCCTGAATCATTTTTCAACTCAGACTCATCAGTGTCTGGGTTTTTCCACACTCCCTCGTCCTCTGCACATTCACCCAGAGCCTTGATGAGGAGCATTTCTTTAAGGAATCTATACAAGGATTAAAAATCATGGGTGCTGGACTCGCTAGCGGACTTCAGACTTAGACAGTTTTTCTGCTTCGGTTCCCACTTTAGCAACGTCACTAAATATGTATGATTCAATCCAACCCTCTGCCTCATCCCCACAATCACGACATCCATGGAAGTTAAAAGAGGGCTCCTGCCCCAGCCAGGATTGTCCTCCTGTGTGCCGACAGACACCGACCAGTTGCATGTTAGCTACACGTGTTCATTGCAGAAGGGAAATTCCGGCTTGAATGCTGATCGTCGTGGTATTCACACATGCACAGGCACTTGAATGTGTCGTAGCCTTCCTAACACACCGTGGACAGCAGGATCCTGACATCAGAAATACAGATGGGTGAAAAAAAGTTCACCTTAGAAATAGTGAAATGCAGTAAGTGGACAGATGAACAAAACAATGCTTGGGGCCTTCAGTTCTGCAAAGAAAATGAAACAGGTGGAAAGGATCAAGAGTAGCTGGAGGGAGATGGACAAAGAGAACCTTTCTGAGGACAGGCTCTTTGGGAAAAGTCTGAAAAAGAAGACATCAGCCAAAGGAGGACCCAGGAGATGCATCCCTGACTGTACCTGCAGAAGAAGCAAGACTATACATATGGCAGAACAAAACAAGCTCCGTCTCAGTGGCATAAAACCATGGTTATTTCTGATTTATTCTGTGTCCGAAACCAGGGAGACTGAAGCATCCTTCCCACTTCAAGACTCAAAGTGCACAGAAAACCACTGCCTGGAAAATCTCCAGTTGCCATGGCAAAGGGAAAGGAAAGGGGTAAATTCCATGCATGTTCTGAAAGCTTCTCCCTAGAAACGCGTGTCCCTCTGCCCACGTTTCTTTAGGGAAAGCAAGTTACCAGAGCTGCCTAACTTCCGGGGGTGGGGGGAGTGGAGCGCAATCTGCCACATGCTTGTGAGATGAACCAAAACACGTTGGTGAGCAGCAGTAATGATGGCCACACAGGCAGAGAAAAGCACCAACCCAGGGAGATGGAGAGGAGCCTGGTGCAGGGGCTCAGGGGGAGATCAGAGTGACGGGAGAGCAGTGGAGGGGGCCACAGCTGGCAGAAGACGGCACTCTGAAGAGTGGAGAAGCCTAGGGCCCTGCCACGCTCTGAACGCCACGACTTCATCCTAACTGTGACCTCAGATGCCTGGAGACAGACTCAGCAACTAACCGTAGAAAGAGGTGGTTGAATTACACCTAATTTCCACAAATGCTTTTGTTGAGCAAACATGGCAATGCCAGAACGTGGTTTTCCATCATTTAATCAGTCTTCCAAAATGCTCCAAAATCAGTGTTAATCACAGTTTTTAAAATAATACATTTAATATGTCCTTAAATAGTGTGTTTCAACATTAATTCTGCAATTAAATACACACTTTCACGCTCGTCCTGTTAGGGCCTCACCACAGCCCGTGAGGACAGTATCCCCAGCCTTCATTTCGGATGAGGAGACCACGGCTCACAGAGCTGAGCGACAGCCAGTGTCACACTGCCAGAGTATGACAGCGCTGGGTCCCAGGTCCCCAAAGTAGAGACTTGGAAAACCAACCCCAGGCTTCTGGACCTCCCACCTAAGAGGCAATTATAACCCCCCATGAGTCCCCAAGTCAGGGATGTTTCTGAACTCATGGTGACTTTGGGGCATTAGGTCATCTCTGGGTTCACCAGGCCCCAGCGGCTTCCAGCATCCCTCAAGCTCCATGTGAGGGCACCTTGCGTTTCAGAAGGGCTCTTGCCCATCAGAGGACCTCAAGGACGCAAACATCCACGGGGCACGTTTGTAAAGCCTGTCCGATTCATAGAAGGGGAAGGAGCCAAAGGCCCCGCGCGTACTTTCTGGCGCTCAGTCCAGCGCTGCACATAGGATGAAAGGAGGCGCATCCTCAGGGGACAGCCCGCAGCACCAGGGCCAGGACAGGGCAGGAGTCCAGCACGCCCTGGAAAAGGAGGGGGCCTTTCACACTTCAAAAGCCTGCACATCTCCCAGCAGCTACAATGGCTCACATCCCGTTAGAAAAATACAGGGAGGGAAGAGGTGGGTCCCCAAAACCGGGAATGTGCCCCAGGCCCAGCCCAAATGCACGCCCTCAGCAGCCCGCCTGACAAATAGCACCCCCAGCACCTTAGCAGCCCTCTCTCTATAATAAATTGCAGCAGGTGGTGCGACTCACCAGGGGCCACGCCCTTCGCAGCTCCTGGCAGCCTCCCAAACCTGCCAGGAAGGCTCTGTGACTCCCCCACTGGACAGATGCGGACACTGAGGCTCTCAGGGTGGGCTCCCCTTCTCTCTCTAAGCACACACCCAGCCCAGCGCCACTGGCTCTACTCTCAGTGTACATCCAGCGTCTTCAGATCTGCACCAGGCCTGAGCCTAGCTAATAATCTGAATAGTATAAATGTCCTGTGACAGGTGGTGGTCAACCTGTGCTACTTCCCTTCTCATGGGTTGAATGCCTGTCCCCACAAAGTCCGCACAAAGTGGCAACTGCAGCCCTCGAGGCGGGGATGGTGTTAGGAGGCAGGGCCTTTAGGAGGTGACTCCGATGAGATGAGCTCATGAGGGGGCCCCGTGGTGGGGTTAGCGCCCTCATAGGAAGACACCAGAGCTCCCCTCCCCTCTCTGCTCCCCCTCCTGAGAGGATACGAAGCAGGAAACAGGTTCTCACCCGACGCTGGATCTCCTAGCACCTCGGTCTCGACTTCCCAGCCTTCAGACGGTGCGAGATAAATCCTGACTGTGCGGCCGCCCCATCTGCGGTACTTTGCTGTAGCAACCTGACTGGACTAAGACACATACCCGCCCCTACGGGTAGGGTCCACAGTGACTCTCTGTACTATTTAAGAAGCCTAAAATTATTTCCAAATAGAAAGTGTTAGAAAATAACTCTAGAATCTGACCACTTCTTCCCATCAACCCAGGCTGAGTGGCTGCACCTCTTAGCACCACTTCAGCCTTTGCAGCCCTCCCAGGTGGCCCCGGTCACAGGGCAGATAAAGGCCAGAAAGATCACAGCTGATGGCCTTGTGGATCTGCCCACTGGCACTGCCCTCCGCCCCGCAGCTCCCTCGGCCCTGACACCGGGACACTCTCACGCCCCAGCTGTCCTGCGGGCACTGCCTGCTCCTCCTTCAGGTCAGAGGCCACCTCTTCAGAGAGGTCTTTCCTGACCCCTCTTCCTCAGGACCCCTCCAGGGCTGACAGAGGAGGGACTCAAGGGCACTGTGAGTGATGGCATGTGCCCCGCGGGGTTGTTGGTGACATGGGTATATACACTGGCCAAAGGTCATCTAGTGAACACGTCTGATCTGTCATTTACCTTCCGTGATGATGCCTGATCGGGAAAGAAATCGCGTAATGAAGAACCCCTTCTGCTGTGACTTCTCCATCACCATTCATTTCCTTTGTGGACCTTGTCACAACCTGCAACCATCTTTTCCTTTATGCATTTACTTGTCTGTTGTCTGTGCCCTGATGCACACAGGCACACTCTATACACACACACAGAATTTGTCAGCCCTCCACAGCAAGCAAAGGAGAGGCCCCCAGGACAGCAGGGGCCAGGTCTGGCCTTCACACCACGTGCCCAGCATCCAGCTCCATACAGGGAATGAAGGCCTGCAGGCTGATCTCACTGTGTAGGCCGCATGGCGAGCTCACTAGGAAGGGCTTCTGGGCTTTTCCACTCTGTATCCTCCCCAAAGCCCCTCTACTTGTGTCTTGGCCAGAAGAAAATAGTCCAAATTCAGAAGAGTTCAACTGACAGACTGACTTGCCCATCTGATGAAGATTTCCTGATTGTTAAGGGACACGGTGACCATATCAGCCCAGGCCCTTCTCTAGAAGGTCTTCCATCCCAGAGGGCACACGGACACGACGAAGCACATCACTATCTCAGGAGCCAGGACACAGCTCTGCCCAGCAGAAAAATAAAGCAGGAGACGCTTGAGTACGGGCAGAGTGAAGGAATGAGGGAGTCAGCCCCGTGTCAGGATCACGAGTTCTAGAAAAAGAGGAGAGCTGGTGTCAAGCCTCAGCTGAGAGCATGTTTGGGGTGACCCAAGCAGAGCAGGGGGCCCCTGTTCCATGGGGACAGGGAGATGGCCTCAGGGATCAAGATTAGCCCTTTTCTTTAAGATGACAAAAACAACATCACGTGATCAACAGCTGGAGGGAGGAAGACTGACGTCACAGGAGCGAGAGGGTGACACATGAAGAGGACAGTGAGTCCGCACTTGCGGAGACGCTACAGCAGATAGGACCACAGGCGGTTTCAGAGATTGCATTTCCTAAAGAAATCCATTACTTTCCAGCATGGGTAATGATTAAAAGTAACTCCTAACAAAGCGTGTTCTGCCAGCCGGGGACATGTGCATAAGGGACACTCAGTAAATATTTGTTGATGGATTGATTTTCAAGTGCAGTTCCTGCTGAACTTGAACAAACTGAGGTTCATTTATAATTGGAAGCACCTTGTGGCTTCCTCTTAGTTAGCCAAACTCCTTAAAAACAGTTTGCTCTCAATCTTGCTATCACTCCAGCCAAGCCCTCAACCTGGCCCCAATTTAAATTGTCACTTCAAAATGGGGGAGGCCTGAATTAGTAAGATTTTACTGCACTCACGGTTTTAGATTAAAATCAATGCTGTGCCCAAATGCAAATCAATGAAAAATGATGGGGTAAAGCAGAAACTAATAAACGCTCTCTCTCATCTTTCTGGGAGACTCCAGCCGAGGCCCTCCAATCCCCCAAGCTTTACCCAGATTCCTCGGCACCCCTGAGATGGGCATAGGCCAACCTGCAGACCCAACCCCTATTGCTTTGTCTCCGCTGAAATCTGAGACCATTAGTGTCAAAACCAAAGTCCTCCTCAGCAAGGCTTGTTGAATGAAAAGTACACCCATCCGGACAGGGCCTCTCACACTTCAGTGTGCACACAGACTGCCTGGAGCAGGGGCTGAGATCCCGTTGAGGCAGCTGGGCGTGGATCACTATGGAAAAAAGGCATTTTATTCAGGATGCACAGATCTGCATGTCCCAACCACCAGCACTCCAAAGTGGCTGAAATGATAAGGGCTTTGGTTATCTCGCCCAGCAAAAGGTCTACAGCAGGGGTGAGCCAGGAACAGCAGACCAGGGCTCCACCGTTCCTGGCGGGCACCCGAGTCCCTTCCCTCCTTCTGACCTCGCATCCCTGAGTGTGAGTTTTGCCCTCAGGCTGTCCCTGGTACAGGATGGCCAGTGCCATCCCAGGCACCACATCCGAATATTCAGCTAAAGACCCATAGACATGGGTCGAACATCTTTTTAAGAGAACCTTTTGTAGAAGCCCTGGTGAACATAATGCAGTGCCTCCTTGGGCCGACCCGAGACCATTCTCACCACAGAGCTAGCCCTGGCCAGAAGAATGGGATGCCAGAGCTGACTGACTCAAACCAGATTTTAACCCCTGCCTGGGGATGAGATCAACACCCCAACACATTCCCAGTTTGGAGGCAGGTGGGCACCCAGACCAAGTGGAGGTTCTGCCAGTGAGGATGAGGAGTGGTGGCCAGCCATGCCCACTTCGTTAGCAGCCACTGCATTCCAGACGGAGCCTCACAAAGGGCCCACCACTCCTGCACTGGGAGGAAGCTGAGGCTCAGAGGGAGGTGACGCGATCTGAGCCCCCTCTTCTGACTGTAAGTCAGTGTCACCTGGCGTGACCTCCTCATTTCTGGGATGGGGAGCCTCCCGGACATGCTGTGCCCGAGGAGGTGTTGGATCACGTGGCAGGGCTTGCCTAGGTGCATCTGTAATCCCCAACGGAGGGCTTAGAGTCAATAAAAGCCCGATCAACCACTAATCATTGTGGAGGATGAATTATCACAGAACTTGGATTGCCAACCCTGAGACAGATGGCGAGTCGGACACACAAAAACAAACCCTCCATGACTTTGGGGGATGTTGCCAAGGGACAAAAGAGGAGACAGTTTTATTCAAAATCAGAATCTGTCCCCAGCTGTGCTTCCAGCCCGCCTATATTAACGCAGGGCCAGACAAGGCCACCAGCACAAGATCATTTTTCTTTGCCCACCAGCCTGAGCAATGACCCTGGAGGCTGGCATTACAGAACCCAAACACAGACGCTCTGTGTCTGCCTCTCCCACAGCCTCCTGAAAAGAAACAGCCATAGGAGGAAAGTTTATTTGTCCTAAGCTCTTGGATGACCCCCTGACACACAGTATTTTGCACCAGACATCCTCCCCGCCTCACACCCCGCGCCTGAACTAGCACCACCCACCTGCGTGGGGAGTGGGCGCATGCTCTCCGGGCAGGGGCAGGGCTGTGCTGCCTGCCATGCATGACCTGGCTCAGCTGCTTAGAAGCTGAAACTTCAATATCCTTTCAACTGGCACCCACTGCAGAGGTGCTTTGCAGAGGATCTTAATCTGGTTTATGTTCTGTGAACGTGAAGCCTGATCTAAACCCAGAAGTGCTCTGGTAAGCAGATGCCCAGATCAGAGACACCCATCAGAAAGCAAGGCCCCTCTGCTGCCTGCTGACACCGACAGCTATGGGAAGCCCACACCCTCCGCTGTGTGGCCCCGGCATGGAATCCCTCCACACCACCCCTTTAAACCTCTCCCTCCTGGCCAGCAAGGTCAAACACGGAGGCTGCTGATTTAATCTACACTCCCACCCTTCCCCAAGTAACGCCCACCAGGCCCCGCTCTAATGCCAGTTCAGCTTGCCCCTGGCTGGCGGCGGTCTCCTCGAACCCCTCCTCTCCATCGTGGCACTGGCCTTGCCCAGACCCCTCCCCTACTCACAGGAGTCCTCAGTTGGAGCGGTTCAGGGGGGTGGCCAGGATGTTCAGGTCTGAAATACGCCTCTGACTCTGCAAGTAGCATTTGCCCATCATTTATTTGCCACGTGCAAGATTTCGACACAGAGCTGGCAATTCTCTCTCATAAACAGATGCCCAAACTTCCTTCCTCTTGTTCTGTTAGGCCCACATCTGGGCCATCTGTGTGGCTGTGCCACTGTGTGGGGACAGCCATGGGGTGGGGGGGAGATGCAGTCACGGGAGCGGGACTTCAGCCCTCGAGAAGACAGAAACTTCCTGGGGACTTTGGGCAATGTCCTCCTTGACAAAGCGAACAAAACGAAGCTATGTCACCCCTCCTGCCTGCCTGGCTAGGCTGCTGTGAAGAGGAAGTGAAAGAGTCTTTGAAAATTATTAAGTCACGACATCCAACTGTAGGCCCCAGGAAGACACTGGGTGTCTTAAAGGTAACATCAAGCCTCTCTGAGAAGATTCTAGACCCTGGTGGGCCTCCCTGGTATTGCCTTGAGGATTCTAAATACTAGAAGCACAGTGACATGTTAACAGCAAAAATAAGAGCAAGAAATTTACTGCAAACTTAAGCAGGCTGGGAGCTGTGCTTTCTGCACATCGGCTCATTGAGTCCTCACCACCTTTGACATCACTACAGTCCCCAGTTTTCAGAAAAAGTTGAGGAGGCCAGCTGACTTGCATGACATTACACAGCTAGTCAACGGTGTCACTAGGACCTACATCCAGGGTGGCTGATGGGGGCCAGGGCACTTACCCATTGCCCTAGACAAAATCCTAACATCATGTCTGACCCGAAGCAGACCTGCCTCTCTGGGCCTCAGCTTCCCTCTCTGCAGAAGGAGAGAATGAGCAAGGGACCCCTTCCAGCTTGCAGCTTGGGCAAACTTGGGCATTCTTGGAATGCAACTTGGTTGAGAGCAAATTGCAAACTCTTCAAGGCAGCAGTTCCTGGCTGTGCTTCATGCTGCCTGGCTGTGCAATTTCCTCCTGCTGTGGACGGGCCATGGAAAGAAGAGAGCTTCCTGTCGCTCACTTTATAGCCCCCAGTTCAGGCAATGCGTGCTTCTGATAAAATGACAACTACATGGAGTTTATTTGGGGGGCAACTTGTTTAGGCTAATTTCCCCCTCCTCCTGTTTCTTCCTATTTTTTTTTTACAGTCTTTTCCCTTACCAGGCTCAGATTTTCAAACCTGTTGTCAAGGCAACACTAGGTTTCTCTCTTTGCACTCTAATGTCTCAATGGGGGTATCCATAGCAACAAGAATACCTTGCGCTTTCAAAGTCAGTGACCTCCCAAAGCTTCGTGGGACTTCTGGAGATAAATTGTGTTTAGACAACGTTTTAGCACAGCAAATAATTTAGTACCTAACAAGCCTCCCTGATGACATCTGTAACAGTTAGCTTTTGCTGGGTAACAAATAACCCCAAAAGTTGGTGGCTGAAAACAGTAAGTGTTTATCATTGCTCTAAAGGTCAGCTGGGCTCCCTTCCACATTGCAGGAGGCTGCAGGTTGGGGACACAGCCCTGCTCATCTTGGCTGACCTCACATATGTAAAGGGATGGTCAGGATGGCCTCAAAGAGGAGAATCGGGCTTTCCTCCTCAGGATCCCCAGCCCTCAGCAAGCCCAGGCTTTTTCACATGGAGGTAGCACTCCCCTGAGGAACAGAGAGAGGGAGGGAGGGACCCAAAGCCCACACGGGCACTTGAGGCTGGGGTTTGGAACCAGCACAGAATCGTTTCCACCACATCCCATCCACCAAAGCAGGTCACAGGCCAGATTCAAGGGGTAAAGAAATAGACGTTACCTTTTGATGGGAGGGACCGAAGTCATTGCAAAGAGTGTGCGGGGTGGAGGGGATAGTGGAGAATTGTGGCCCTTTTTGCAAACAATCCACCAAAACTTCCCTCCACGCTCCTTGTGTGAGAATTCAGACACCACTTACCTGTGAGCTGAGTTTCCATAGCCGAGGAGTAGTCTCAGCACAGAGGGGATGGAATCCCCAGAATCCTCCAATCTCCCAGCTCCCCTCTTGCAGGTGATGCCAGTGCCAGCATTGCTGCCCCCTGTGCATGTGGGTCAGTGCACTCTGTCCACACGGGCTGAGAAGACAGTAGGTGCCCAGCAGAAATGAGAGACGCTGTCCCCAGGAAAAGGGCCCCAAGTGCTGGAGAGCCAACATCAGCGGATCACAACGGCAGACCTCACCTGACCACCTCCCACCAAGAAGCAGACGCCTACCTGGGTCAAGTCAGCTCTTGGCAAGTGCAGTGGAGAGAGTTTTTATCAGGTAAAACCTCCTCCAGCAGGGCTCAGAACTCTACCAAAACTATTTTAAAAAAACAGCTCTGGAAACGTCAGCAGGCCTAATGCTAAGCCAGGAAAGCAGGGGCAGCTTTCCACTTTGCTCCAGGATTCCGCTTCTCTCCGGAGGCCGGGAAAGGACGCCGTGCTCTAGAACGGCCCAGAATGGAGGCCGCCACACACGTGGGGTTCCGCAGCAGCAGCCTAACAACGGAGGTGGAAATCACCCTCCATGGGGGACTCACCACCCTCCGGGAGCTGCCCTCTCTTAGTGAATGGGAGCTGGCCCGCCCTCAGGATTCCCTTGGTGATGGGTGACGGAAACCTAACCCAGACTGGCTTATCTCCAAGAGGAATTTATCAAGCGAGGGAGGAAGATCAGACTGAAACCAGCTCCTTCAGGTGAGGCCAGGGTGGGGTTTCAGACCACATCAGCGGCCACCTCTGTCCTCAGCCCTCTAATCATGACCAGGGTCACACCAAATACTACTCGATGTATCAGACGTCCTGGCAGAAACCCGGACATCTTCCCATGTGCCTGGGACCTCTCGGTGCTTAGAAAAAGAATGAGTGAGTGAAAGACTGTGAAAAAGAAATGTCTCACGCATCAGAACTTCTTAGGCAATGTGGTATTTTCCACCATGAACTTGAACACCATCCTGTCCGCCCACGAAGTCCGAGCTCCCTTCTGCCCCATTTCCCTCTTGGGTGAGGAGAGAGTTACTTTACTTCTTGGAGCAGGAATCTGCCCAGCGCTTTACAGGGCTGCCCCCTGTCACCCATATCCCACCCCCTGTTCTCTGTGCGTCAGTGAAGTAAATTATTCTCCACCATTTGGCGTCCAAAGAGCAGAAACACAGTGTCGCGTTTCAGAATAAGCCTTGTGATCCGTGGTGAGGTTCTCTCGCCAGCTGCTCTCGC